TATGTTGCAACAAGTCAAAATAATTGTAAGTCAGAAACCCCCACATTAGCACGCGCTCTATTTGTCCCTGCTGCTTGAAATGATCTCAGTGCATGTTGGTTTTTCTTGAATAACCAATAAGTACAGTAATATAGTCGGTGAGTGTCATTTAGTACAAGATTTGTTGGTAATGACAGGACAAGGCCTGACAGACCTAGTGACCAGTAAAAGCAAATGTGAAAAGTAAATGCAGCACAATATAGGGCTAAGGCAAAATGGCAGAGAAAAAAGTGTGGGGGAGAAGAAAAACCAGCCAGCCACCAGTGATTTTGGAAAGCCAGCTTCATCATTGTAGGAGCCAGCTCATGTGATATTTTACTAAGGTGGCAGCATATGTCTACTAAGTGAGGTTTGACACACCAAGCTAGTTTACTGCTTGCATTACAGTCTCTGTGTCAGTCTTTTCTTACCTGTGATTCAAGTTGCAATTAACACTGACAGTCTTTTCTGATAAATAGAGCAGTCTCAAATTGAAAACAAAGACACTATGTGGCCTATAAAAGAAACAGTGGGCTGTGGGCAGTTAAAAGGCTAAATAAAAGCGGAAATGGAGGGTAACACCAATGTAGATAGAAAAACCAAACACCATATGAGATCGGTCCTTGTGATGGTACCATGGTACCTGTTAAGGCTCCCACAGGTGCGTGCCATTTTGTGTTCCAGAGTCCGATGTCATTTTATGGCACTCAAACTCCATGCTTCAATTCTGATGCACAGTTATACGCATCAGGGCCGGGCTTCGGAGAAAATTCGTCCCGGGCATTTTTTAATTACAGCGGCCCTCTAAAAAGGGGGCGGGGTCAGTTAGGGTGTGTTTTGTCATAACCAATGACAAGCACGCCCCATCACAAAGTGAGTATGTTGGTTCAATGCTCTTCCAGGGCAGACCATGCACAGAGCTCTGCTGAAGAGCTCTAGCATGAGAAAATGTATTTGTTCTGCACAGGGCAAGCAAATTTAATAATATGCTTGCACTGTGTTTGCTTAAAATTTGTCTCTGGTGTCTCCATAGAGGAGACAAAAATGTCAGGAAAGAGGATTGTGCAGTGTGTGTGTGAGGGTGATGTGTGTAAGGGGTGTAGTGTGTGTGCAAAAGGGGTGCTGTGTGTGAGTGATGGGTGCTATGTTTGCATGAGGGTGCTATCTGCGTGTGAGAAAGCTGTGTGTGAGGGTGCAGTGTTTGTGTGTGGGTGCTGTGAGTGTCAGGTGTGCAGTGTGTGTGTGTGAGTGAGGGTGCTGTGAGTGTCATGGGTGCAGTGTGTGTGTGTGAGTAAGGGTGCTGTGAGTGTCATGGGTGCAGTGTGTGTGTGAGTCAGGGGTGCAGTGTGTGTGTGTGTGTGAGTGAGGTTGCTGTAAGTGTCAGGGGTGCAGGGTGTGTGTGTGTGTGAGTGAGGGTGCTGCAAGTGTTAGGGGTGCAGTGTGTGTGTGTGTGAGTAAAGGTGCTGTGTCAGGGGTGCAGTGTGTGTGTGAGTGAAGGTGCTGTCAGTGTCAGGGGTGCAGTGTGGTGTGCAAGAGGGGTGTAGTGTGTGTGTGTGTGAGGGTGCGATGTGGGTAAGGGTGCTGTGTATGAGGGGTGCAGTGTGTGTGTGTGCTGTGTTTGCATGAGGGTGCTATGTGCGTGTGAGAAAGCTGTGTGTGAGGGTGCAGTGTTTGTGTGTGGGTGCTGTGAGTGTCAGGTGTGCAGTGTGTGTGTGAATGAGGGTGCTGTGAGTGTCATGGGTGCAGTGTTGTGTGTATGTGAGGGTGCTGTGAGTGTCAGGGGTGCAGTGTGTGTGTGAGTGAGGGTGCTGTGAGTGTCAACATGCAGTGTGTGTGTGAGATTATATCCCCCCTCCCTTCTTACCTTTAGCCTGGGAGGGGGAACCGTGCTGCTGCCATCTCTGGTGGTGCTTGTGGTGAGTGAACTCTAGCTTGTGGGGCTAGAGTTCACTCTCGCGAGACCCGGAGCGTTGCCATGGCAACGCTCCGAATCTTTCGAGAGGAACCCGGCTGAGCTGCAAGTTAGAGCTCCTCCGGTTTCCTCTCTCCTGTCTCCCTCCCTCTCTCCCCCGCTGGCGGCTGCAATATACTACATGTGGGCAGGTGAGGGAGATCTTTGATCACCCCACCTGCCTGTCATGGAATGCAGCATGGCCGGTGCTTGGATAGTACCGGCCCTGCATAGACCAGCAGGGGAGATCCTGTGATAAAGCCCATGACCACCGCGGCCCACCGCATTTGCCTGGTGTGCCCGATGGCGTATTGTGCATCATGTGTGACATCGCCTATGTACATTTTAGCATTGCAGAAATTATGCCAGCCAATAATGTGCTTCCTAGGCTTATTTATCTCTGCACTTTGTGCTTTGCACTATCGTGGTTTTCCCTTAGTGATCCATTAGTGCTTTTTGTTCTTTATCTTATTTTATTTTTTATTTTGACCTTGGCTACTTCCTTGACCATTCTCCATTCTGTGCTCCTTGGCTCTGGCTTGGCTATCCATTATAGTGCCTTTCTGTTATCCTAGACCTCAGCTTGTTTTTTAAACTCTGTTCCCCAGGCTACTATCCTATTAATTTATGGGCAAATCCAAGGACCTATAATACGCCTCTCTTACCTTAGGCCTTAATTTAAAGGGACACTATAGTCACCAGAACAACTACAGCTTATTGAATTTGTTTTGTTTAGTAGAATTATTACCTTCAGTCTTTTTGCTGTAAGGCCTGTCTTTTCAGAGAAAATGCAGTGTTTACATTACAGCCTAGTGATAACTTCACTGGCCACTCCTCAGGTGGCTGTTAGAGATCCTTCCTGGGTCATTGGCTGCCTAAAATGCATCCAAACATTCAGTGGCTCCTCCCTCTGCATGCAGACACTGAACTTTCCTCATAGAGATTCATTGATTCAAATTATCTCTATGAGGAGATGCTAATTGGCCAGGGCTATGTTTGAATCATGCTGGCTCTGCCCCTAATCTGCCTCCTTGTCAGTCTCAGCCAATCCTATGGGGAAGCATTGTGATTGGATCAGGCCACCACTTCTGATGATGTCAGAGGAAGTTCACAGGCAGAGGCAGCAGCTTCAGACCTGAATACAAGTAAGATTTTACTATCTTTAGGAAGGCAAAGGGGGCTAGATAGTGGTTTTAACACTATAGGGTCTGGACTACATGTTTGTGTTCCTGACCCTATAGTACTCCTTTAATATTTTTGGATATCTTCCCAATTTGTTAGAAAAAACTTTTCAAAGTTTTTATCTACAAACGTTCCCATACACCTTAGTGGTGACGTCAGTAGAGATATAATTTGATATTGGCTGGTTAGAGCAGTGTAATGTCACTGCCTTAGAACTGGGAACCTAGGTTCAAATCCCAGCCAGACCACCTAACGGCCTGGCCTTAAACCAGTCATGGCCAAAGTGTGTCCCGTGTTCCGGTTTAATACGGCCCCACAGGTTATTTGGCTAATCCTATCTGTTGTGGCCACCAGTGAATCCACGAGCGCTGCTCAGGATCCCTCGATCTTTGAACGCCGTGGTCCTGAGAGGCGTGCGGGAATTCACTGGGGGCCAAGAGTTCACATTCACTGCTTGTCCCCAGTCTGTGTTCTCGCGATCTATTTGAAGTCGACGTCGCAGGATTTGGTTCTTTCTCCCAGGAGGTAGAGAATGAAGGTACAGAGAATGAAGGGGCAGAATAAAAGAGAGAAGGGGCAGAATAAAAGAGAGAAGGGACAGAATAAAAGAGAGAAGGGACAGAATAAAAGAGAGAAGGGACAGAATGAAGGGACAGAATAAAAGAGAGAAGGGACAGAATAAAAGAAAGAAGGGACAGAATAAGAGAGAGAAGGGACAGAATAAAGAGTGAGAAGGGACATAATAAAAGAGAGAAGGGACAGAATAAAGAGAGACAGAATAAAAGAGAGAAGGGACAGAATGAAGGGACAGAATAAAAGAGAGAAGGGACAGAATAAAAGAGAAAAGGGACAGAGTGAAAAGAGACAGAATAAAAGAGAGAAGGGACAGAATCAAAGAGAGAAGGGACAGAATAAAGAGAGACAGAATAAAAGAGAGAAGGGGCAGAATGGAGAGACAAGGGACAGAATATAAGAGAGAAGGGATAGAATGAAAAGAGAGGGAATAAAAGAGAGAAGGGACAGAATAAAGAGAGACAATAAAAAAGATGAAATGAAAAGTATGCCGCTTGCAATACATTTTTCATAAAATAGTTAATTTGCATTGAATTTTAATGGTTCAAAGAATGTCAGGCAAAATGGTTGGCCCTCACGCATGTTCACTTCATCAAATCTGGCCCTCTTTGAAAAAGGTTTGGACACCCCTGCCTTAAACTGTTCAAGGGGCCTCAAAATTTCTGATGGCTGTCTTGATGGTCACATGTATGAAGAGCAGCTCTGGGGCAATGTTCTAAAACTGGAACAAGAGGCAGGTGCTTTTTTTTTTTAGTTTGTAAGCTAGTTTGGATAGGGTCTTCTTTACCTACTGTTCCAGAATGCCTATCATGGTTTGTTAGAATTTAGCGGTGTTACTTGTAATGTAATGGGTGTATAAGCTACACATTGTATTTTGGAAGCTAGACCTGACAAAGACCCTGAAGGCGGGTCGAAACATTGTGGAATAAACCCTTTTGGCATTTGTTTTGGTGTTGTGGCTCGTTAATATTATTCTACTGCACGTGAGGCGTTGAAAGTCGCCCTTGGAGATTTGCACCCACATTTCTAGTGGCGTGCTGGCCCTCCATTTTAGTTTTGTACTTGTTAGAATTTAGTCTCTGTTTTGTTGACCTATTGTACAGCTCTGCTGACTATGTTGGCGCTATATAAATAATGGTAACTTTCCACAATGTTCCTTTTCACTATGGGAAAGGTCAATGCTGTCATAACTCCTCCTAGCCACTAGATGGCAGCGGGCTCCAGCGTGTGGAACCCTTGGCCTTCTATCACTTGACAGCCATAGCAACGGCCTGAAGCTGCCCGTGTCTCCGGAGAGGGATCGCAGTGCGCATGCGTGCTGTCCGCGCCAGCCTGTGTCAGCAGATCGAGGCAGGCTGCGGAGCAGACAGACAGGGACAGGCAGGATGATGGTGGCGGTGCTACAGCTGGCGGCGGCAGTGAGCGCCCTGTGCTGGGGCTGGAGCCGGGGCTCGGATGATATCGTGGTGGGCTGCGGGGGGTTTGTCAAGTCGGAGGTGGACATTAACTACTCCCTGATCGAGGTGGGTGTCCGTGCCAGGCCCGGGGGGGCCAGCAGCAGGCCGCACGCCCCATTCATTCCCTTCCTACACTGCCCTCTGACCCCCATGCCCTCCATGCTTTCCATGTCTTCCATTACAACCCCTGTCACTGCCTGTCCCTGCCTGCCCCGGCCGTGCTCTGTTAAATGGGGGTGGACTCAAAAATACAGCATTTACCAGTTTGTAGGACTACAACTCCCACAATGCTCGGCCAGCCACCAAGCTGTCAAAGCAGCATTGGAGTTGTAGTACTTCACTCTCACCTAAATGTATGACAAACCTTGTTTTGTTGAATCATTAACTATACGATATGATATGATTCCATAAGTATATGAATGAAGTGAGCAGCACAAGCAGATAAAGGAAGTTTGCGGCAATAAGAAATGCTATATAACAGGGGATAAGAAGCTTTTGGCACTGCAGATATTGTAGACTACATCTCCCTTTGATGGGCTGCCTACTTTTTGGTTGTAAGAGCATTATGGGTGATGTAGTCCACTAAAATCTGTAGTGCAGAAGGTTGCCTAACCTTGCCATGGAAGGTGTGATTTGTGTTGCTATTGGGCCCTAATCACTTCTGGTTCTTTGAAGGACGCATGTAGTATTTAGCTTGTACTCTTTGCAGAAAGTCTGCAGAATATGTTGGATTTATATAAATAGAAATATTAAATCTACTAATTTAAAATAAGGCATCTCTTCTTTGAATCACAGAGTTGTTACAAAATGTCTTTCAAAAGTTTATCTCTGCACGCCATTTAATAGGATATGGAGTTGAGTAGATTTACACAGTGAGAATTCCACATTACTTTTGTTTTTATAAAGAATCTTTTTTACCACAAAAAAACGTTTTAAATTATTATCGAACATTAATCAAATGTTGTTTTCTTACATTATAGATTAAGTTATATACAAAACAAGGCACTCTGAAATATCAGACTGATTGTGCACCGAACAACGGTTACTTCATGATTCCTCTTTATGATAAGGTGAGTGGTCAGTATTAGTTTTCTCTAATAACCAGCTTGTGGTTAAAGGAACAATGAAGGCTGAAGTTAATTATTTCTCTTTAATACACTTTATTGAAAATGCTTTAAAAAGATAGTCCTCCCTTCTGATTTTTTTGCACTTGCAATAAAAGCTCAGGCATTGCTGCAATCTGTGCAGAGTTTGTGGCAGACCAGGAAGTGACTCAGCCATCATGGTGTGCACCCTTATTTTTCCATGTCAGTGCTATGGTCACCCCAATAATGTATGCACAACTGTGTTTTACTTGCACAACAGGAGTTTCTAGAAGTTCTACATCAGTTGTGAGCTTTCCACAATACTGCCCATTGTGTGCATGAGGAAGAGTTTGCTACTATTAGCACAAGATAGGATGCAGGGTTGCCTCCCGTTACCACATTGCGAGATTGAAGGCCATAGTGCAACCCTGTGAGCCCTTCACTGACTTTACTTTTGCCTCACTAGTATGGAAAGTGTAGTAATGACAGACAGTAATGGACAAACCAAGATGTAAAGATTTATGTTAAAAAAAAAAAGTGGCTGAGTAGTGTCTAATAACTATGTTTTTTATCTCTCACACACCATATTTTAATAAAATAAGCTGGCTTTAGTCCTGTGCCCGTCACCCACTACATAACTACTCTATGTGCATTTATTTTGTTGCTGCTGACTTGACTTCTTTCATTGCAGTCTATCATTGAGCCCTTGTGATTAAACAGCCCTGCTGTGGAGAGAAATATTTGGGCGCCATGTCTCATTTCTGGATTCTCTCACACGACCAGTGCCTGATATTTTTCGAGACTTGGTTTAAGTGAAATTCTGCAGATGTGCCCATCACTGATTAATGTTAAAAACAAATCCGTGTCACTCAGGGATTTAGAGAGATTTGTCAGATGGCTACACAGAAACATGCACGATTAGGCAAAAACATAAATAGGCGTAACTAGACACAATTGACCTCCACAATGCGTACATTGTGTTGATATACTTGTTTTGCACTATTTTGGCAAAAATATGGAACTGTTTTGGAGCAATGAGTTTCATAAGCATGTGCATTGAATTGCAGTGCACATTGATTTTTAGAAATAAACTATTTTACGCTAGATCTCTTTATTTTACTTACACATTAATACCTAGGGGCACACCAGACTATAAATAGCAGACGTCATACATAAAGTTAGGATGCAGATGTAAAACATACCTCTCCAAAACTGGCTAAGATACAGAACTAAATAATAGTACACCGATAATTGTTTAAAATAAGAAAAGGATTACTTTATTTTTGTTTTGTTAACTATAAAAATAAATGAAAAAATAGACAATTGCTATAGCATGGCATGCAATACACACACATCCATGTAGGCCTACTGTTCATAAATAAAGAAAACTCACATAATGTTTATTGTGTATAGTCATATGCAGCTGTCAAATAAGTCAAAATAAATACATGTTAAACAATTAACACTAGTCTGCTAATAAGTGTTACCGTCTTTTATGTTTTTGGCTATAAACAGCCTTTTTTTTGCAGGTGTTTATAGCAATATAAACATGTATTTATTTCAAATTTATTGCAAATGGCTGTATACAATATGTGAATTTGCTTTTATTAGGAACTATACTTCTGAATGGCTGTATGCTATGCGGATTGTCTATATTTTTCATCAGCCTTTATTTTTATTCTTTATGTGACAAAAATAAAGTAATACTTTTTTGTAAGGTTTACTAGTGTGCGGTTTTATGATTTAATTCTCTTTAATTTACTGATTTAGGCCTCGATTTAATGGATTTGCATTTAAAAAAAAGTTTACAAAATATTTAAATATCAAAAAGTTATTTCTAAAATAAATCAATATTCAAAGTATTAACATTTTTTAATGATTACATTTTAATAGTGTATCCAAAAATATTAAATCAATTCAAAAGCTTATCCCCCAAAAATATTAAATTGATCTTAACTTAATCCGCTGGTTCTACATGTAGTTGTTAGTCTGGAATATCTATATAATGAAACCTGATTGGGAGGGATTTTGACCATAATTTCTAACTCTTGAAGCTAAATATGTAGGCTGTTTCAGAATTGTGTAGTTGTAGGGCATCCTTACCAGATCTCTTGGTACTGCCTAATGTTTTGTGGAAGGATGAATGGAAGTATATGAAAGATGCACTGTGTAAAAGCATAAAGTACAAAGAAAATAATTGTAGTGAGTTAGGCACATGGGTAGGGAGGTGGCTAGAACGACAGTTTAATGCCTTGCACTTATCAGGTGGTATGGTATAACTTATTATACAATAGTTCTTAAATCATGTTTTTTTCTAGTGAGTTAAAGTGGAGCTGTCACATCTGATTACAACCAGATAGTTAATTGAATGTTGTCTGGCTTTGCCGTTTAATTTAATTTTTTTTCCAACTGTTATTCATTTTAAATAACATGCTGAGGATAGAGTGTAAACTTGATTAACCCTTACATAGATGGAATACCAGTGTGTGCATGTGCTTGTATGATATTTCTGTGCATGTGTCTAATCGTGCCTGATGGTGTTGAACTCACACAGAGCGTGTAAGTACTACATTGATTTAGATTTAGTTTTTCTTAAACCTCTGCAGTACTACTTACCCCCTAGTAACCAAGAAAATATCAAATACAGAGAAATAATGAAAGTTCTGTTTTAATGAACATTATTGGTTTATTCACCAAACTATTAATTGTAGTGAATATTAAACAATATTGCTATATTAATGCCTAAACACAATTGTTTAATGATAAGCCCCCTGTGTTTTAATTGATGGGGGGTGGAAAGATTCCATCTAATTGCATATCAATTTATTTGTTGGGGACAAGTGATGGGAGCATACATGGATAGATGATTGAGGGGAACAGATATTGGATTAGATAAAGATGTGCAGAATAGGAAAGCCTTCATTTTAGGGGAGAAGATCATCCCAGGTAGATAGATTTGGAGGGGGGAGGGGAGATATGAATTTATGTGGTTGAGGAAAAAGCTGTGATATGGTTGTATGCCAAAATAAAAATAATGGGATAAATAGAATAGGTCAAGATGAATGTAAAAATAAAGGGGATGAGGATTTAAAGTTGGAAGAAGGGCAAGATGGAACACACAGCACTGAAGCATGATCTAGGTCACAGGCATAGGCAACCTTCGGCACTCCAGATGTTTTGGACTACACCTCCCATGATGCTTTGCCAGCACTATGGGTGTCAGAGCATTATGGGGGATGTAGTCCAAAACATCTGGAGTGCCGAAGGTTGCCTACCCCTGATCTAGTAAAATCACAGCCTAGTAGATGGGTCTCCATATTGGGGATGCCAGGTAATTGGAGGAGAGGCTTGATGGGTATATAAGATTAGATTAAAACCTGGAACAAGCCAAGTGGAAGATCAAGTATTAATTTATGTTGTGCAGAAGCAACTAAGTAGACGTAATGCTGGAAAGTCACTTTTATAATTGATCATCTTAGAATGTACAAACATTATGTTGTGTAATAGTGTAACTGCTTCTTTGATGTTTATGGCTGTGAAAGTTAATAGTGATTGTATTTCCTTCAGGCAGCTATTGATGTGTTTTTGTTCTTTCAGGGGGACTTTGTGCTTAAGATCGAGCCTCCCCTAGGCTGGAGTTTTGGTGAGTATCTGTTTCTTCTCCGTAATAGCTGCTGTCAACTCCTACGGGGTTGGTGTGTATATGTTTTTCATTCCCAGAACTCTCCTATTTGCATTAGTTAGATATCATCAGAAACTACCTGGGGACCGCAGGTGTGCAACATCCTCCTTCTACAATCGTGTTGCTTTTTACTAAATGTGGATCAGTTTGCTGATGTATGAGTGCTAATCGCAAAACATATCGTTATGTCATTGTTATATAATAATAATATACACAGAATGGTGTAATGATTAAAACCTGCTACACAAGCGGCAAAGAAATTTGCCTTCTTTCCTGCTTTATTTCTGGCAGTATTGTAGGCCTGTTGACAACGTTACCTCTTTCCACATTGCAATATCTGATATTCATGTTAATTTTACTGATTTGTTTTATATCCTCCCAATACCCTTTCCTTTGCTCTTTTTTTAATTAGAAACAGTATTTATTTATTGTATAAACCATCCTCATTACATTTGAAAGGGATTTATTTGTGTTTAACTGTTGGCTTCAAAGAAGCCGCAAAATCCAAGCTGTGTTTTTTTTTTTTTTTTCATTTTTTTTTTTAATGTAGTTTTATTTTTGAGACAAAGTGACATAATTCATTGTATTTGCTTGTTTGTGTGCAGCACCTACAATACTGGCCCTTGAAAATGTCGATTCACCATTATTGAGCGCCAGTTTTTAGTTAATATATGCAGAAGTGGTACATGCACAATGGAACATTCATCACTGCATAACAATTTAACCATTTCACTGCCATAGGGCTGTATATCACCACTATCACTGTGAAAATAAAACAACGTATTTCTATAAACCTTTTAATCCAGATCGCACCTTTTCATCTGGAAATTATAGGATCCAGAACTGTAATTTTAAAATATTGTTTTTCTTAATGACTTTTAAATAATTGTTACTTAATTCTTTTATTATAGAGCCTACAAGTGTCCCTCTACATGTGGATGGAGTGAACGATATTTGTACTAAAGGAGGAGATGTTAATTTTGTTTTTACGGGCTTCATGGTTAACGGAAAGGTAATTCAGGCAAACTACATTTTAGTAATCCTAATTTCAGTACAGGAAATTCCAGTCCATGTGATTTTTGGTCCCTTTTTCATCTACTTTTTTAACACTTTGTTTGAAAATGCAAACCTACACACTAGGGTTCGACGGATTATCGGTTTTGCCGATATTCCGTTTTTTTTTTTTTGTTTTTTTTTTTAAGTATCGGCCGATAATCACTGACAACACCTATAATGAATGCGTAGGCTGGCGCGTCCATAAGGGGTGGGGGTTATAAGGAACACTATGGGACCAGGGGTGGGGGTGGTAAGGACCACTACAGGGGAGGGGAGAAAAGAACACTTTTTGCACAAACAAAACGATAAATGTACAGCATATTGGTAAGCGATCGGTCTGAACGTTCACAGATTATCTGTATCGGCTCTAAAAAAATAATATTGGTTGATCTCTACTACACACTCCCAATGGACTGACTCGTGATACTTGCTCCAGATAAGTGACAAAGTATCATTATACAGTGACTTGCTCATGTGGGGAATGAACGCTGAATAAGGAAATTGGCTGTGTGAGCTCATTTAATGAGGGCCCTTATCTCCTCCTGATCCTGTCAAACTTGTTTTGCCACTTCTGCTTTTGTCATGTTGCACAAATCCAAAGAGGATGTTGGTTTATAAATTATAATGTATGTTCATGGACAATCCCATGTGCAAACTAGTGTATGAAAATCATGCAAAAAAATATACCAAATGATACCGCACTCAATAGAATAGATATAACTGAATATAAGTTTATTAGCAAAAATGTAAGCTATCTTATATAAAGACAAGAGAACACCATATATTTATATATGAAAAATATCTTATTCACTATACTATAAAGTGCTAAAGTGCAAAATATCACATCACCATGGTTCCTAAATGAACATTAATAAAATACAAACATTAATGCCTGTTTCAAAATCCTCTGCACAGAATAAACCACATGGTCCAGCAAAACAACAGACTGTACATAAGGGTATTGAGTTTTGTGAGAAAAAATCCTGGTAATGTACATCAAAGTTAAAAAATAGGGATCCCAGAACAAAACTCAATGTTGGGGGGGGGGGGGGAAAGGGTCATGGACTGATCTCACCCATGTGTTTGGCTGGGAGGCTTCCTGTTTGCTTTAAGAGTCCCAAATCCAGATGGATATACTCTTCTGTAATGTGTCCCAAGTGTTCTCTTTAGAAACTCCCCCTGTAACTCATTTTTAATAAATTTTATATTCTGTTAAATCTATTCTATTGAGTGCGGTATCATTTGGTATAATTTTTTTTTGTATAATATTATTGAGGGTCTTTCGAGGTGACCCTGATACCTATTGTGATTGAATGCAAGTACTACTTGTGTTTTTTGTTGGTTTTTTTTTTTTGTATGAAAATCATGGTTTAATTGTGATCTGCTCATCTGCACAGTTAGCCAATCATTGCTATGTATTTGATGTCTAATCTGAAAGGTGATTTCAACTTTACCTCAGCCACAATATAGGAGCAGAGGACAACATTAGGTGACGGGAGGATCCTGAGCTTTGTCAGTCCACTTAAATAGTTTGACAGAAACCACGGAGACGACACCCAAAAACTGCTAGTAATGTAACTACTACAATGAGCTGCAGTGGTCATGGTGCTTAGAATACTGCTTTGATGCATAACTTGCTGGTATGAGGTGTGTGGCGGAACCAACCTCGCCACTGTCCACTGGAGAGGCCTGGTTGCTCGCCTGCTCCCTTTAGACTATGGTCCTGCATTTTATTTTACCTGCAGAAAGGTTTATTCGTGCCTTTCTGCGGACTGTTAAAGCCATGCTACCCCAGATAGCTATGCCATGGAGCCCAGCCGTATACTGAAAGACTGTATGAAAGACTTTGGCTCCATGGCGATTGAACTGTATGTATGTGATCTGAGCACCATCCGGTAGTAATGGGCGCTCAGATCTAAGCTATCTGGGGATAGGTAGAATGTGTATGTTCTATGTGATAAATGTAACCGTATGTATTTTTATGTCTTTTATTGTCCTTTGTCTGCCATATGGCTAATGGAGTTTTGCCTCTGTCCTTGGAGATAATTGGATTACTTCACAATTATCTTCAGGATAGAAGACTCTGTGGAACTGGTTTTGGGCAGAAAAGCCATGCTTCATTTGGTCAAATAGGACTTTCCCTTAACTTTTTAACCCCTGGATGGAATTGGCTGAATTTTGGTTATGTTTCTATTTTATGTGAATATGATGCATATTTTTAAAGTTATAGTGTATGTATAAAAAGTGTATTTTTCCTGCCTGTGTTAAATTTCATTAACCCATTGTGTTCAGTAATGATATCACAGGCAGAGGGGAGGGATGTGTTTGTGCTGGGTGTGTTTTATGGCTGTCCTGTAAATGATTGGTTGTACTGTGTCCCACCCAGTGTGTGGCCATTACAGTGGAGTTCCTGCTTAACCCTGAAAGTGAAGTGTCGTCTCATTATTGGGGGAGGATTTATTGTATGCTGTTCCAGTTTGACTGCTAGGAGTGTAAACCTATTCACATGGGTTTCCTATTCGGCTGTATACAACATTCATATGCTTAAAAGTACTCATATGCTTCTCCGGTTTGGTGATTGTGGTGTCTGCCAGAGTGCTTGGAGTCCTCAGGAAACGCTAGGAGCATCCTTTAACGGAGGTACCCAGTCGGGGTGCCAGGCGATCCGTTACAAGGTGTTTAAGCACTAGAGTGTAATAACAGAACATATGATTCTTTTAAGCACCATAACCATTATACGTCTTGTAGTGCTTATTGTTAAAGCAGTCTTTGGGTGCCATTTTCCCCCTTCTTTTACTGTTATTCATTAATTGTTTGACAAAAAATACATCTCTCCCCGCATTCAAAGCCCAGGCTCTTTTTTTTTTTCCTAAAGCTTGCAGCCTATCATTGTCATTGAAGGTGGGGTGTATCATGCAGAAGAGGCCAGGTACTAAGTATCAGAAGATGCTAGGTTTTAGTCAATGTGCATTGAACGAGTTACCAAGGTGTGCTTGCCCTGTTCTAGCTGTTTTTTACTCTATATTCTTCGAGGCTACAATGTATTAAAATCACAGGAGGTCTGCTGTTTCTGAGTTACTGGTATCATCATATCTAGAAGCACTAATGATCTCATTGGCCCAAGTATCTTAGATATGGTTTTACCATCTAATGTATGTTCAGATACATTAAACTTCTTCACTATGTCTACAGCATACATTACTTTGAGATGCAATGCTGTTAATGAGCATGACTACAGAATAACATGGTTACTGAGTCTTTTTGTATCAAATTATCATTATATGTGTTTGTATATAAAATATATTGCATGGGACATGTACAGTATACTTCTACATGCGTATGTGGTCTGCCATCTGTTGTAATACACCAAACCTAAAGGGGGGAAGCAGTCACTAACATACATCAGTATATACATATTAACATTTCTAGAGTGAGATGTAATTATGATATCTTGCTGTCTGTTCCAGGTATTGAGTAGAAATCAGAATCTGGGGCCTGGGGGTGTACAGGTTGCCTTGAGACGAACTGGAAGTGGAGTGAATTTTCAAACCACAGTTACTCAAACAGGAGGAAAGTAAGTTCTTTGATTGAAGACCAATTTTATATTCCAAATACTCATCCATCATAATATTTAAAGCTCTTATTTCTACAAATTAAGGCATGTTTTACCCAGTTGTAGCCTGTTAAAAAAAAAAAAAAAACTTAATGTATTGGTTGCCTTAGTTAAGCCATCAAAAGCCAGACACTTTTTTTTTGCATTAGAAATGCTACTGGCTAATTATGAATATTACTAATGAACACCTTTTTTCTGGTTCTAGGTTTGCGTTCTATAAGGTGCTCCCCGGAGACTATGAAATAATTGCTTCCCATCAGAATTGGGTTTTAAAAGAGGTATTTTTATAAATAGGTTTTCAGTGTGAACATGTTTTGTTGTTGTGTTATTCCTTTGACAATAACCTTTGTGGTCTATAAATTAAGTCTGTATCATGATTTGGCTTTCATTTGGTATTTGAATAGTCTTTAAAAGATGCAGTCAGTGGGTATACTGCACATATTATTTCAGTAGACATTCAATAAGTGGGGAAAAAAAAATGCTAAACAGGGTTATTCACTAAAGTGAGAATTGTCTGAAATTCAGAGTGATTTCAAATTGAAGACCAGAATAGCTGGTTTGGAATTTTTTTTTCCCCCCATGTAAACCAAGCTTCCAGTTTAGCTATATTTGTCTAAAATTCGAAATTCACGTTTAATTCCTGACACTTCTTCCTTTGATGAATAACCCTGAAATATTCTTCATTGTTTACAGTTTGACTTCTAAATGTTCATCTTGCCAACAAATCTCTAGTCACTGTTTGCCCTCTACCTTCCAGTCCGGTATTTTTCCAACTGTTAAGCTGTATTGGAATATTGTATTTTCCTGTTAACCCGTGCACTGCATGGGTTTATGGGTAATGTGTAGCTGAATTAAGTTACACAATTGTCTTATTTTATTGTGATACAAAGTTGTATATATCCGTAAAAAAACCTAATGGCGAGTACTACAGCAGGTCTGAGTTACTCAGGGGATTTTAGGAAATGTACAATCATATGTTCCCTTTTAGGTCCTGGAGCATCCAGAGCCCCTGTTAATATTGGAGCTCTAGTCCTGACCGGGGCTATCCTCCGCTTGTTCATCAATAGTAGAACTCAGGAACAAGATACTACCAAGTAAATAGCCCACCTCCTCTCCAGTAATTGGACAACACACAGTTCTGGAAGTACAACTGAACTTCATTCTGCCACACACTACTTTTATGCACTGGCATCTAGTATGGGGTATACACATCAATAACACATGGGTTTCTTCTCAAGAGCCTTTGTGTTTGAGAGATAATTGAGCTTAAATTAGGATAACTCAATTATATCTCAAATACAGAAACTTACACACATTTTACTATACCACAAAAATACATGAAAATAATACAGGAACTCACAAAAATCATATCCCCAAATAGCTCTGACCTGAGACGCCCAAAATATCCAAAAATCGTTCAGATCGGTTCGATAGAACGAAATTGCTATTCAAGTAAAGTTTTAAAGACCAACAGTTCCAGAGGATTGGGAAGGATGGCCGGTCGACTTTCGGGGGTTCCTGTGCAAACACTGACTAACGCTCCCCCTATCTTTTCTGCCGAACATCATTCGTCTAGGTGGTCGGGAAATAGAACGGGCAGCAGTACAAACTCCGCCCGGGTTTGTGTACTCGCGTGAGCCGAAAACCGTTCCAGGCGTTCGACCACCATGTACCGCTGCCTGTGTTCAGGAGACAAAATGGCCGCCATGCACAGACCACGTGCGTTCGGTTATACGAATGGCGAACCCAGGGAAAGCACTCGAGCCACTGTGTTGGTGGTTAACAGCCAGGGGAAGTCGGTGTTCAAGGAGGTATAAAAGGGGGGGACCACACACCAGTCATTTAGGAGACGAACAAGGGTGTACGGCCAACCGAACACAAAGGAATGGAGTCTGCTACAGTGTTCTCACCTAAATGGTGGCTGCATTTGCAGTGCAGCTGTGGGTATAAAGTTTTCTCCTCCAACCTTTATTTCCAATTGCCCTTTTTTAAAGTAGCTAGGTGCCAGTGGCTTTGGTGTTTATTTTTGGGTTTGCAAAATAAAAAATTCTATTGCATCAAAAAAAGAAAAAACTTTTTGTTTTTCGATGAGATGTGTTGTGCAAATTTTCTTCTTGTAGTGTACCTTTAAGAAAGACATATTAACTGATGATATACTACATAGTTCTTTGGTACACCTCAAAGCATATTCTTAGCACCAAAACTACTCCTTCTCAAGGGACACCGCAATGCTTACAAGTTTTTGACGCATATCTAGTGGCTGTCAGAGAGACTGACACTAGAGGTGCCTCTTAATTGAAAGCCTTACTTTTATTTAAGGACTTCACATTTAGCATCATCATGTCCAGTGTGATGTTGCTGAACAATGTGAGTGCTTCTTATAAAGGAGCATTGGGTTCAGTGTTTCTCTGAGAAGCATTCCATTGGGGAGCTTGATGATTACTGCAAAAGGTGCTATGTGCAATCAGTGTTTTTCTATGGGAATGTTTGGATAAGAGGAACTATCTGGCGAAGTCTGTACTGACACCAGATTACCAATGAGTAAAAACAATAGTTGGAAGCAACAAACTAGGAATAGTTAAACTAGGAAAAATTCCCTCCCAACCCCAAAATGGTGTGGCGGCCACCCAGATAAGAACACTGGTTTCGCTGCCAAGGATGTCCTTTTTCCCCTCTCTGGAACTCTGCTGTGCCGGATTCAGTGATATAGCTGCTTTAGTGATTATAGCTGCCAAGTGTTTAAAGCTCTGGCGTGATTATAGCTTTCCCCCACAGACATTAGCCAAAACTTAATGCTGGGAGTGAGCTGGTTTAATAAATCATGGTACAGGCAATTTATACACAGATCCCTAGCAGGGGGGGCTCCATACAGTTACAAACTCCTCCCTGGCTTCCCTGTGTGTGGGAGGAATTTGAGTGTACTTTTGCTTAAACTAATTATCTCCCAGGCACAGAGGTACAATGTTCAAAACACACTATATTACAAGGTACCCTCACAAGTTCTATATCCCGGATAACCTGTATCTGAGCGCCCAACATATCCAAATAGCGCTCAGATCCCAGGCACCTGCCTAAAATAGGTTGGTGTATCTTTCGGGAGTAAAAAAAGGAATAAAACACTGAACAGATTTTCTAACTCCTAGGTAGCGATTGTTCGCCTTTTTTCGTGCGAACAATCCTACCGATCAGCACTCTTCTGAGGTGTAAGAAAACGAAAACAGGCAAGGATGGAAGCTCAGCTGTGTTCGCAAGTTAGTCTGTCCGATTTCAGTTCCATGCACTCGACGACTGAACACCGCTGCCTGCTTTCGTGCGACAAGATGTCCTCCAACTCCATTTTCCATGTGTTCATCTATGCGAATGGCGGCCACCCAGCAGAACACTTGTAGTAATGAGGTGCAAACCGATTATGGAGGTGTCAGTAGGGGTCAATGAGGTTAACAAGCTCCAAGGTGGGCTGAGTACGGGAGGTATAACAAGGGGAACTTGTGGGTTTGTTCGGTTACTGAACTGGAATGAGGAAATAATGCAAACAAAGTATTGTTAGTGACGGGGTGTTCTGTCACAAATGGCAGTCAGATTTATCCTTGGATCAAGAAGCTATTTCCCTACAGTTGAAAAATGATATCATTGAATATTATGTTTTTGCAAGTATGCATCTAGCTGCTGTTTAAACATCTGTACAGACTCTGATAAAACCACTTCTTCAGGCAGAGAATTCCACATTAGTGATGTCCCAAACGGTTCGCCGCGGACGGCGAACATATGCACTGTTTGGTCCGCCCCCTATGTCATCATTGAGTAAACTTTGACCCTGTACCTCACAGTCAGCAGACACATTCCAGCCAATCAGCAGCAGACCCTCCCTCCCAGACCCTCCCACCTCCTGGACAGCATCCCTTTTACATTCATTGT